TGCTGAAACAGGTCTCTCTAGTGACCCAGGAAGGAAACTCAGGAGAGTCCATTTTTCGGTTGTTCGAGATTTGCCGTTCAGAAAGCAGTCTTGAGCGCACTGTGCTGTCTGCAGACAAGAGAAATCTGAAAAAATGACTAAAACTGGAAGAATGGCTTCACATAGGTTCTAAGCAAGGGGGGATGCTGATACTCTGCCGTGCTAAGGTCCAAGTAAAGGTCTGACTGTTAAAATTTACAGTTGCCTCAAACATATTCCTCCTTCTTAGGCCTATTATATGCTTCGGATTGGTAGCTTCAGAATTCCTGAACTTTACATATTTTAAAGACATTATTAGAAATAAACCTATACTGCATACTACCAAACCCATTGTATACTAGTCCTGACAAGTAAAGGGTATCTTTGCGCTTAACAGATGCTTCACAAAGTCTGGAGAGATACACAGCCCCTGACAGCAATTCCATAGAAAAGAACAATGTAAACTGTTAAAAAGTGCTTGCGAGAGTGATGTTTGGGCCAACACAAAGAGAGTTGTGGTCAGACTGGCAGCTTCCTCTGTGCTCAGAGATGTAATGTCTGCCTTAGTTGTCTACCAGTGAGGGGAGGATACTGAGGGTGGATGATGGCTGTTAGGCATGAGCTGAAGAGAACCCAGGGATTAGGCTGAAGAATTCCTGCAAATATACAGTTCATCCACTCAAGATAAAATATGGTTAAGAAAAGGAAGTGTTTAATTAAAATTTGGGATGGAGGAGAAAACAGGAGAACGAAGACCATTCCCAGAGTTACTTCACTTGTCTTGTGGAAGAAACGCAGAACTTGCAGGGAAACTGCAGCCCCACCTGCAAGGTCTTCCTCAGCGTACCTCCATGTACCTCTTCCCTAATCATCACTTCAGGACGTTGTTGCCTCTGTATCCAGCTGGTGCTAGAAGGGGGCTGCCCTTCGTGGGCATCACAACTGCCCTACTAGAGACCATCACCTCAAACTTTCTGCTGTTAAATTCTTATCAGAAGGCTGATTCTAAAAACGTTTCTGAGGAAGATTTACCTGAAGGGCAGACGGGACATGCAAGAGACGAGGTAATTTAAACTTACTCCTGAATCACTTCAGACCACCGAAAGCTACATACTCACAAAACTCCTTTCAGTAACGTGCTTTGGAATTATGCCCCTGTTGGCCTAAAAAGACTTGAAGTGGTGCAAGTAAACTTCCTATTGTAATGACTGAGAAATCATGATTTAATAGGTCTGGGATGGGGCTGGAGATCTGGATTTTTAAGAAGCTTTCCACAGATGTGCACTGAAGGCTGAAAGTCGCCCCATTTTACGTAAGGTGGAAGGGACGTTCAGATTATTGTCCTGTTATTATATACCGTGTCCCCTCTTAAACAAGATCCACGGGAGAAATTTCCCTTGGGTCTTATCCCTGAGCAAAGGTGATGTTTACCAACACTGTGGAACATGTTGCCAAAGCTGCAGCTCCCTGCTAACAACCGGCCCGGAGGAGGAGGCAGTGTGGGTGCGGTGCAAACGGCACCGGCTTCGACCCGAGCCCGGGTTTAAAGCCCAGCACTACGCAGGTGCGTCATCGGTTTCTCTGCAGTAGAACGAAGGTGCCGTGAGAGCTCACGAGACGAATGTGAGAAATGCCCGCGACGCCAAGTGCGAGGCCGGTGGTCCGGCCGGCCCGAGCCCGACAGCGCAGTGGCATGACACAGGGTTTTCCTACCGGTGCGCCTTCCTGCCTCCTAGCTCCCACTCTCCCCGCCCGGGCGCCCTCCCCGGTCTGGCCCTTTAGGGCCTCGGAAGCCCCCGCCGACGCCGGCCGGACCTCGGCGCCTTCCCGTCCGCGGATCTGGTCGCCCTCGGCCCCGAGCGCCCGCTTCAGGCGCTCGGTCGCGTCAGGCCCCGGGAGTCGCCGTCAGCGGCGGGCTCACCTGCAGGCGGTGGCTCTTGACCAGGTGCATGTTGAGCGCGGGACTGTTGGGCAGGATCTTGCCGCAGCCGCGCACCGTGCACAGGATGTTGGTCCGCACGGCCCGGGACAGCTCGCTCACCGACGGCTGGATGAGCTCCCGGGCCGGCGGCGCCGCACCCGCAGGCTGCTGCCTTGCTGCCGTGGGTCGCGGCCGGCTGCCCCTCAGCCGCCCGGGGGGATCCCACGGGCCGGAGGCGGCAGCGGCTCCCCTCGCGGCCGCCGGGACGGCTGCGACGCCCAAGGCCAGAGCCGTGGGCCCCGCCGCCGCCGCCGCCGCCGCCGCCGCCACCACTGTCGCCTCAGAGGCCGCCATGGCTCCCGCACCCCAGCCCGGACAGCTAGGACGCCCCGCCTCCCGCCGCAGCGACTTCCGGAAGGGGGCGGGGCCTCTCTGCTCATTAGCATCCGGCGGGCCCCGGCGGCCGCGGCGTCGCGTGCGGGTGGCGGAGGGCGCGTCTGCCAGGAGCTACCACCAGATGTGAGGCGGGCGGGTTACAAAACTTCACAGGGGTTCCTGGGGACAGGTAGGACTTATTGGTCCCGCTGATCCATTGTTCGCCTTTCTAGAAATCTTACCTCGGGCCTCAACTGGATAGAAGAAAAAGCAATGCGTTCACGAACTTTACTTCCCAAAGATTGGAAATAACCCAAGTGTTCAACAGGAGGAGAGGCGAGAGTATGTGAATTACAACTATCTCTGTTTACTAGACAATGGGAATGCACTTTTCATTCAGTATCTCATTTTGTCCTCGAAACAGACCTAGCAGGCACGTACTATAAGTTTTCCCATATTTGAAGAGAAGTAAGTAACTAGCCCGAGGTCACATTATACAAACAAAAGGATTGTTATAATTGACAGAGTTAATCATTTTAGGGAGGGTAGATTAATTGCCTGTATTCTAACTGCTGAAATTTGATTACTGTTTGGGAGACAGTGTAGCTCAGAGGAGGGTTCCAAATCCTTAGTCGGAAGAGGGACCACCAGATAGGTCATTTAAATGAGTGTAGGAGGCCAGGTGTAGTCAAAAGGGAGGGGTGAGGACTGCAGCGGAATGGGAGTTACATCCTTTGTTTAAAGGGGGCAGCGGCTACTACTCGTCTTTGGTATCGCCGAATTTATTTTTCAAGATTTTTATGTGAAAACTCCCAGCTTTTATATATTAGCAGCTCTATTTGTTTTCTATTGCTGCAATGACAAATTACCACAAACCTGGTGGCCTGAAACAACACAGATTTGTTATCTTACAGTTCTGGAGGTCAGAAGTCTGAAATGAGTCTACTAGGTGAAGATCAAGGTGTTGGCATGGCTGCATTTCTTCGGGAGGCTCTGTGGAAGAATCTGTTTACTTGCCTTTTCCAGCTTCTCAAAGTCATTAATGAATGGTGAGTTGAGGCTTCTTCACATCACTCTGATTTCTTCAGTAGTCACGTCTCCCTCTGCTCTCTTCTATTCCTCTTCCACTTCTGAGGACCCTTGTGATCACACTGGGTCCATCCAGGATATCCGGGATAACCTCACCATCTGCAAAGTCCTTTTGTTTTGTAGAGTAACAGATTTACATATTCCAGGGATCAGGATGTGGACATCTTTGAGAAGGGTACTATTCTGCTTCACGGTAACGAAATCTGAATTAAAAAGTACTGTGGGCCCAAAACCCCCCACACCTGTGTGAGAGATAGCATCCACGGACTATTGTTTCTTCCAGCACAGTGTCCAAGAGGGCAGGCTCTGGAGGCCAACTGCCTGGGGTTAATGTGGGCTCAGTCACTTACTAGCTAGTACTAAGCTTTGGTATTCACGTCAATAGAGTGAGACTAGTAATGCTACCTGCCTTATAGGATTATTATGAAAATAAGACAAAGCGTATAAAATACTTGGCACAGCGCCTGCCACATAGTAAGTGCTCAGTAAACATGAGCTCTTTTTCATTTTTGGAGACCCTACCTAATGTGCATTAAATTCCTTTGGCCTAGAGATGCTTGGATCTGCATTTACTGCTCCATCTGATCCCACGACTGCATCTGAATGGCGTATGTGTCTCTGGACTGTCAAGCACATACCAGGTAAGCATTCCCTGTATCTCATTTCCTGAAGCAGAAGCCTCTGTCTGGGAGGGCTGCAGGGTGCAGGCTCAAGTGATTCCACTCTAGGCTGGGTAATACTGGGTTGGCCAGAAAGTCCCTTTGGGTTTTTCTGTAACATCTTACAGAAAAACCCAAAGGGACTTTCTGGCCAACCCAATATGAATAGTGGCTTTCTCGTTCAGGCTCTCATTGCACATCCCTGCAAAGCACCAGAAAGGGCTGTGAGCCTGTGGGAAACCATACCAGGAACCTGCAGGGCCTCTGTGCAGACCTAATGTGGGCATTCAGGCACTGAGTAGAAGTGCCTACCATATGTGTGCACATAGGAACAGATGCTCTAAACCATGACTGTGGTCTACAAAAAAAATTAGCGTTATTAAGCCCCTACAGACTCAGTGCCTCACTCTGAGATAACTGAAGTGTCTAAGCCATTTGCTAATTAAATCTAAACAAATATATTTCACATAAAATACCTATTGGTATTGGTATAGACAATACCAATACATTATATTGGTATAAAACATTGTTTAGCCCCTTCTGATTGTGTTTATATCTGTATATTAAGCCTCTTTTTGATTTTCATCAGAAGTAACTGATATACCAGTTTTTAAATATCTCATTTAAATTGGTGTTTTTCTCCTCTGCTTTGGCCACTGGCTAATGCCATCCAAATTTTTCCTTTTATTCTAGCAGTTGAGGAGGCACTTGTATGTTCTTACCTGGTAATCTTACCTCTAGTTTTATTTTGTCCTCCTATGCTTTTTCTGTCCTTCATTTGCCCAGATTTCCTCACCTTTAAAATTTTTTTTTTAAATTAATTTATTTATTTTTGGCTGTGTTTGGTCTCCGTTGTGTTGTGCGGGCTTCTCATTGTGGTGGCTTCTCTTGTTGCGGAGCACAGGGTCTAGGCACGTGGCTTCAGTAGTTGCAGCACGTGGACTCAGTGGCTGTGGCTCGCGGGCTCTAGAGTGCAGGCTCAGTAGTTGTGGCGCACAGGCTTAGTTGCTCCGTGGCATGTGGGATCTTCCTGGACCAGGGCTTGAACCCGTGTCCCCTGAATTGGCAGGTGGATTCTTAACCACTGCGCCACCAGGGAAGCCCCTCACCTTTTAATTTTATCATAATTGTAACATATGTTGTTATAACCCCAAATCCTTTGTGGATCAAGATAGGGAGTAGATTTTAAAGTGTTATTGTAAAAGGACATGTGATTTAGTGATGATCACTGAAGGATTTTCACCAAAAGTGACCGATACACCCGTTTTTAAATATCTTTATTCACAAACCTGTATATTATCTGTCAGTTCGGATGCCATATGTATGATAAAATAGATGAGAAGTACCATATTTACAATGAAATCATTATTTTATATAGCTGAATCAACTGATAGGCTATCTCCTGCAATAATAACTTAATGGGCCCAATTCTACCTTTTGAATGGACCAATTTTATGGTTCTCCTGGAAAGTTTTGGGTTGGGTATAGTTTCTTGTTGCTTCTTTCTGTGATCCAAGGCTTAAGAGAAAATCCCTGGAAACCAGCAACTGGAACCAGACCTCTCCAGGATTGAGGAGAGACAGGGGTGAGAAAAATGACATCCTGTCACATCTTAAAGTCCCACAACTGCTATGCTTTGCAGGAGGAGGAAAGAATCAGTCCCAAGAATTATACTGAACATTTCTAAATCGTCAACATCAAGGATTAATCTCTAAAACAAGTTTGCAGATAGAAGCGATCCAGCTAGTCATAAAATGCATATGCAATACAGTCAAGGATGCTATGCTTACAAAACCACATACATCTTATTTATCTCTAATTTTAAAATAATTCATTCCCTTATTGGGTATGCAAGTGAGCAATGGAGAAAGTGGTGCATCTGCAATACCTGAAATTAAAAAAAAAAGAAAAGAAAAGAAAAGAAAATGAAAATAATCACAGGGACAACGATTTGAGTCAGTTTAAAAATGACCAAGATTAGAGGGTGGATCATGGGCCCCCATTAAGTGAAGCAGAATATGCAAAACAGGGCATGATGGGATAGCAGACTAGAGCCATGAGAAAGCTCAGGGGCAATTAGTCAGCAAAGAGAGGGTCGAATGTAGTATGTTGTTAATTCTTCTGGCTGATGAAGTGTGCTGACTACTTACCGGCTGGTGCTAAGGATTTCAGTGCTTCCAGGAGATGGGGGCTAGAGAACTTAACCAGGCACCGGAGGGGTTCTTCTCTCTCAGCCAGGATGCCCCCATTTAGGTCACTTTTGAATTTCGTTTCAAGCTGTCAACAGATATATTTTTAAGTGACGATTAAATATATCAGTTGCAATGGCAAAATATAAAGAAATAGGATTATGTATTTCACTGATTCTTGTTATCAAGAAACACAGGGACTAATGGAGGTGGGAACCATTTAATTTGCTAATTGCAAACGTTGAGAGCAGCCAGTATATCCAGCAATATCGCGTGCAAAAAGCCAAGCATGCACAGTGCCTGACACACAGGAGACCTTGCATGTCAGTTCCGCCCTCAGATGCCCTTTACCTGAGCATTAGGTTTGCATTCTTAATGGAAAATGAGCAGTTTTTTGTAATCTGTCATTTCGATGTAAAAATGTCATGTGTTTTGAGTCATTACCGCAATTTAACTTCTTATAGAAGATTTAGAAAACATACAAAAGCGAGGAGCACAGTGTAATGAGTCCCCATGTGCATATCACCCAGCTGAAACAATGACTCGTCTTGTTCCATCTATTACTCTACCTTCCATTCCCTACTGCCCACCCCCACTGGATTATTTCCAAGCAAATCCAAGACACCATAGTATCCCACCTGCAAATATTTCAATGTATCTAAAAGAGTCCTAAAGAGGACTGTTTTTCAAAACTTCACCCCCATAACATTACCACACCTAAAACAATTTAAAACAGTTCCTTCATATCATCAAATATATAAGTACTGCTACTTTAGTAGGTACTTGGCTCTTAGATTCTAACTTCATTTTATTTTATTTTTTTAACTTAAAATGATCCTTAAAATTTAGAGACAGAATGCTGAAATGTTTAGAGGGTGAATAATGTCTGCAGCTAATTCAAATGGTTCAGAATAAAGAAAGAGAAAGAAAACAGATGTGGCAAAATGTTAACAACTAGTAAATTTTGAAACAAAGGGGAAATGAATGCTCATTGTAATATTCTTGCATGTTT